AACTAACTAACTAACTAACTAACTAACTAACTAACTAACTAACAACTAACTAACTAACTAACTAACTTTTCAGTTCCATCAGGGTTATCTTTAGCCTCCTGGTTTCTGCCCTCATTGCCTGGTCCACACTGGGGGTGGTCCTGGTTTTTCATTTTGGCTTCACTTTTTGTTGAATGACATGTTGGAATCTGATTTGTAAACTTCATGTTAGATTTGAATAATTTCAGAACTTGTTAAAAATCATGATATTATTATTTCTTCATGCAGGATTTTGTGCTTTTCTGTTTTTTTTCCCCTGTGGTCATGATTTCGTTGTGTCTGTGTTTATCTGCTCCTCAGTGTTTCTTCCCCAGCTCCTCCTCCTTGTTGGCCTTTTGCTTTATTTAGTAAACAAACTTGTTTTTTGAGCTCCTTTGTGCCTTCCTGATACTGGGTCCTAAATGCCTTAAAAACTGTCACTTCATACATATAACCTTAGATGCAAGGTCTTCATCCCTGTTCCTCATGACCCACTGTCCTGCAGGTTTTAGATGTTTCCGTTTCACCTGATTCAAAGGATTAAATCACCTACTCTACCTCTGCCCTAGAACTAACTAAGGGGGAAATTTCTTTTCCCCATGACATTACCTTTTCAACTTCATACTCCATGACGTCATGTAGAGTGCCATCTGTGTCCAGGCGAACCCGCACTCGGCCTTCTGGGAGTTCAGGTGTACCTTCATCTGGCTTCAGCTGAGTGGCTGAGAAGAAGAAGAGAGAAGCTCCGTCATTAACATCAACACAGAGTTTAGCTGAATCTGTCTCAATGATCCCTGTTTAATAAAAGGTCAGAGGTCAGGGTTGTGTCCAGGGCCATACGAGAAATACGTGAGGACTTTAGCCGGCTAAAACAAGCAGCTGGAGCTAATGTGAAACATGATATGTAAGCAACGCTTCTAGCTATGAGATTACGACAGACTGTGTCAGAATTAATCAACAACTCTGCTAATCCAGAAACAAGATAACAGTGGTGTGTTACAATCTGTTCATGAGCTGAAGAAACAAGTGCAGGAACTCAAAAAAGTGACTTACTTGAACACACAATGGCTGCTTTTACTTTTTAATTAGCAAGTTATTTTATTATGTTTTTCTAATAATCTTTTTCATGTCATTATATATAAGCAACAACAGATCATTACTGATTTAAAAAGGGTTTTTTTTCTGAATAACTGTTATTTCATTGCAAAAACTGTCCATCTAACCAAGTTTTAAAATCTTATATCCAGTCAAAAAAAAAAATCATTTTGATCTTGTTTTGAGACTGATTTACTAAACAAGAACTGATTGTGTAAGAATAATAATCTTGTTTTCAGAATGTGTAAGATTATTTGTCTTGTTAGTCTGAAAATTTGACTCAAATTAAATCAAAATATCTGCCTGTGGAGTAAGAAAATTTTACTTTGTAAGACTTCTTGAACCGTGACTCTACAGGGACGTTCTCACACTTTGAATATGTTTGTTTCTTATAAGGCTGGGCTCATTTTATGATGTATGGCACAGACTAAATAAAGTACTACTAATACTATTACTATAACAAAG